AACATAGATTCCAGTGTCTAGTGAACCGAATTTACTTCCATCATAGTATGACCAGATTCAAGTATGATCTGCTTAATTGTGACTTTCAATTCTTTGGCCAGATCACTTAGAGCACTGCATAAAACTTTGTTTCTGTTCTGATACTTGCAACCGTCGGATACCAAAACGAACTTTGTATAACTACGCGGACAGTTACGAATGAAGTCCACAATACATGACGTAAATTCGTTTGATGATACCTGGCTATCGGCTTCATGCCATACGTACATGAATACATCTCTTGATTTCAGGTTATATAATGTAAAATTATACCACTGAAGTTAATGCCTACAGTAAGCAAGAGATGCGAGCAGTTTTGGACTCAATAAAACACACTGCAAATCCATCGTTACTACAAGTCTTGTTTCTGAAGTAGACTCTTTTGCAGCTGCCTTACCTCCTTTTCTTTGTTTCGGAGAGTGTATGTCAACATTACTTTGTACGGATACTCTTTTGGCCTCCCAACTCGTTAAATTCCAAAACAAAATGTTAATCTGTTTTCTTTCGTCATTTATTATTTTGCACATAAATGAGTTCTTTTTGTTTTCTGTTAGAATTGTCATATTTACATCTTGGCAGTACATGCCTCTCCTGTCTTTCTACTGCCTGAGTTATCTTTCCTTCTTCATTTTTCTCGAAGCCAATGTATGTTTTTTCCATCAATCAATTTTTTTAGCTGTCCGTCTCTTATAACCTGGTGCTCTTTTCCTGGATAACCTAGTAATGGATTCCTCAGTTTGGTCGACCGCAGTTATGTCCTGGGGTTGGTCGACCGTAGGTGTGTCCTGGGGCTGTTCGACAATAGCTGTGTTCAGGGGTTGGTTTACCGTAAGCGTGTGTTTAGGTTGATTGACAGCAGTCGTGTCTTAGGGCTGATAGGCCGCAGTTGTGTTCTCAGACTTGTCGACAGCTGATTGACCGAAGTTGTTTCTCCCATGTATATAGATGCAGAATTTATACTTGAGTGTACTAGGGCAGAATTTTGGAGTTGTGTTGCATGGCAGCGATGGGCGCTATAGTTTATAAATGGACTATTCCAATCCAATGCCAACTGCGAATAGGAATGGCAGCGAAAAGTTTATAAATCGCCCATATAATACTGTTTTGTAAGTAAAAGTACACACTCAGTCAAATTCATAATGAAATTAACACAAAAGAATGTATTTTTATTATAAAAGGGCCTAAAATATACAGCGGAGCATTTAATAAAGTTAAAATCTATTAAGTGCACGTAGTCGCTCAAATTTTAAAAAGAGCAATTTCGGTTATATGTAATTTTAGCACATAGCAGATTTTACCTCACCGGAACACATAGCAGATTTAACCAAATGTTTATAAGTTGGTTAATTCTATTCATAGCCTATAGCAGATTATACCAATGTATTAACCATAACGACGATATATACATACATATATATATATATATATATATATATATATATATATATATATATATATATATATATATATATATAAATTGTTTATTCTTGGGGAATGCAGTCAATTAATTTGGGCATATACAAGTAAAATTCTTTGACCTTAGTCGAGCTTTCGAAAATTTTATTTCCTTTTTCTAGTCAATTTAAAAATGTATTATTAACGAGAATATTTACATTTAGATAATAAAAAAAAATCACTGCCCGTGGTTACATAAATAATTCAATCACTTTGATGAACATGAAGAAGTTACTTTTATTTTATTTTAGTTTTACTTATATTAGCCCAAATCAATATTTTTTATTCATTCGAATGAATATTCGAGTATTTTGTGCATAAATTAATCATTACCATATTATTACCATATTACTTGATTATTATTTATATGATTAAAAAATTGTTTACTTACCTGACGCGCTAACACTTAAATTAAGGGGGGCATTTACAACGGGATTACTAGAGAGGTTGGCCATATTCGACAGACCTGCCGCCAGCGAAGCCACTTGAGGAAGGTTTTGTAAAGATGCTAAATTTTGGAGATTCTGTAGGGTCACCAAACCAGCCACTGTAACAATAAAAAAATGCACGTTTTGAAGTCTATATTTTTTTTTGATTAATTTATAATGTTTTTCTTTATATATAATTATTATATTTGTTACGTGTTAAAGAAAAAATATTCGGGATAATTAGGAAAATGAAATTTTATTCAAACTTATCTATGATCTACGAAATAGTCTACGAAATCCCATTTACACAGCTGATAGCGAATCATGGCCCTCAATGTAATGCAATTTGATAAAAACAAATTTTCCTTTGGATTTTGTTGTCGTCCATTTGATGATATATTTTAAAATTCGTAATTGCAATTGTTGGTCGTTCTAGATTTCACAACCCATTTTATAACCTTTTGAAACAATAATTACAAAAATTCTTCTATTGTTAATAGAATTAATCATATTCGGGAAACATCTTTGGACATGAAACTTCTTCTTCTTCAATTTCTTTTTCCTTCTTGTATGTAGGCTTTAAATAATGTTTCTTTTTCAATATTAGCCTCCTCATCATCATCATCATCCAGCCTCTATTTATCACGTCCACTGCTGGACATAGGCCTCCCTTAAACTCCTCCATTCCTCACGATTTTGTGATCTTTGTTGTCAATTTTTAGTGATACGCCTGATGTCGTCGGCCCAACGTGTAGGTGGTCTTCCTCTACTGCGTTTGTCTGCTCTTGGCCTCCAATTTGTAATTTTGCTCGTCCATCGTGAATCATGTATTCTTGTTACATGGCCTGCCCAGTTCCATTTTAGTTCCGCTATGCGTTCCACAACATCAGTAATACTCGTAGTATCATACTTCTTCGCAGATCTTCGTTTCTTATTCGGTCCCTCAACGTCAATCCCAGTATAGACCGTTCCATTCGTCTCTGTGCCACTCTGAGTTTCGAAGCCGTGGTCTTGGTTAAAGTCATAGTTTCCGCCCCATAGGTCATGACCGGTAATACGCATTGGTCAAACACTTTTCTTTTGAGGCTGATTAGTATGTTGGCCCTAAGTGTGTCTCGCAGTTTTCCAAAGGCTGCCCATGTTAAAGTAATTCGTCTTTGGATCTCATATGTTTGGTTATCCCTGCTGATTCTTATTTCATGACCCAAATACGTATATTTCTCCACCAGTTCTACCACTTTGCCTTGAATAGTCAAATGGTTATTGGGGACCAAATTTGTCATAAACTTAGTTTTGGTCAAGTTCATTCTCAGGCCCACCTTCGAACATGCAAAATCCAATTCGTTTATCATATCTGTAGCTTCTCCTAAATTATCTGTGATAAGGACAATGTCATCTGCGAAACGGAGATGGTTAAGCTTTTCGCCGTCTATCGTTACTCCTCTGTGGTCCCAATTGATCATCTTAAAGGCATATTCTAATGCAGTTATGAATAATTTCGGCGACAATGTATCTCCTTGCCTTATTCCACGATTTATTTTTATTGGTCGGGTTTTATTGTCTATTTTAACAGTCATAGTGGCATTTTTGTAAATATTATAAATAAGCTCACTATACCTATGGTCAATCCTGCTGTCATTCATTGCTTCTATAAGGCTGTCTAATTCGATCGTGTCGAACGCTTTATGAAAATCTATGAAAGTGAGAACAAGAGGTTTGTTATATTCTATAAATTTTTCAATGAGTGTCTTTACTGTGTGGAGGTGATCATTGGTACCATAATTTGAGCGGAATCCTGCCTGCTCTCTCGGTTGGTAGAAATCTAATTTTTTCTCCAATCTTGATGTCACTACCCTAGTGAAGAGCTTGTATATGCGGTTCAACAGGCTAATAGGTCTATAATTTTCTAGGTCCGTTCTATCTCCTTTTTTATGCAAAAGGATGGTTGTAGCATTGTTCCACTCTTTGGGCACCTCTCTTTGCTGCAAACATAGATTGAATAGTTTCCTTAATTTATTTAATAGCATATCTCCTCCATTTACGATATCTTCTATTACGATAATTGCCTCCATTAGCCTCCTAAATTATTTAAATTATCGCACCATCTTTTTCCTGGTCTGCCAATACTTCTTCGTCCATTTGATGACTTATCTCGTGCTATTCTTACTATCCTGTCCTCTGCGATTCTACTAATGTGTTCGTTCCACTTCTGTGTCGGTTTTGTCAACCATCCATTTATGTCTTCTGTATTGCATGCTCTTCTTACGTTTTCGCCTCCTCCCTATCCAACAGACTTTTCCCTGATATTCGTGGAAGTCTTTTCATCTATGTTGTTTCTAGTAGTCGTCTCGTTTTAGATATGTAAGGTCTTGTTTTCGCCGTGTATGTTAATATAGGCCTAATTGCTGCTTTATAGATTCTTGTTTTTGCTTATTGTTTTAGGTATTTGTTCTTCCAGATTGTGCCATTAAGAGATCCCGCCGCTTTACTTGCTTTTAAGCTTTTTGTCGTACTTCTTATTCAACATATCCGTAACTAGTTATCTCTATTCCCACATATCTAAACCTTGCTTCCTGCTTTATTATTTTCCCATCAATTTTGATTTTATATCGTAGTGGGTATTTAGATGTTTTTATACATTTGGTGGATATGTAACAAAGAAATTAAAGCTTCTTTCAGAACTCAGCTTTTGCTTTAAATTTATCTTTGCTTGAATGTTTTTTGTTGTTAAAAGTGTAAAATTGATCGTTGCCTTTTTCACTGTCATTTTAGCACGCAGAAGAATAAAATATCCCTTGTATATTATAATGACATGGTTTCTCACAAATTTTCTTTATCTCAAAGCTTGGTAATCATGAGTCTCCCACCAAGTCTTCTTTGGTCTTCCTCTTTTACTGCTTTTCGTCACTTGCAACTTAGCAATTCTTTGTATTGGATGATTTTATTTCGACACTGAACATGACTTTACCATATTAAACAATGCTTTTTCACTTTGGCGTCATTCCAGTAATCCAAGCATGGATGAGGTGTTCGCTTTAAAAAAATTTAAATCTAATAGGTGCAATGCTAAGTACTTACTGGCTCCGTTTAAATGTGACGTAGGCGATATACTAGTGGCCATCTTAGGTTCAGTCTGACTAGTTTCTTCTAGGCGATTGTGTACTTGTTTAGATGCTATGGTTAAATCTGTACCATTTTCAGCTCCCATTGCAGGTTCCGGTGATCCGATACTGCTATCACAATCGCTCTCCTGAAACAAAGATAAATATTTTAGACACACCGATGAATACAAAGTTGGTATCAGTATAGCTAATATACGCATTTTACAAATCAACTACATAATTCAGATTTAACGCAATTACTCCGGGCAACGACAGAAACTTAGACAAAAACATCAATACTTCTGAATTTTGGTATAAAATGCTTTAAATAAAGTTAATAGTTAACGAAGCATTAAATAAAATAAATGTATCGACAGGATAATTTGCAATAGGATTTGACAAAATAACAGAATGATTGAATTTTACAGCAAACATTTTACGTTTTAATTAAATTACACTCATAACCAAAACATTTTATTTACAAACCAAATTAAGAAATAGTTAAACTAAATAAATAAACTAAATAAAAAATAATATATAGCGATATAAACCATTATCCACTCTAATTTAAATTTAAAGCACAACAGTATATTTATTATAGTTTTCTGAGTTTCTTGAACCGTACTATATTTAATATAAAATTAAAACTACCGAAACGTTGATTTCTATGGAGAATAAAATATAGTTTCCATTTTAATTTAATTTACTGATCCTAAACCTAATATATATATATATATATATATATATATATATATATATATATATATATATATATAATTATACCTCCGTTTTAAATTTGTCCTATATAAAATAATATTATTTATTAATAAATTTTGTATAATATTAATCATTATCAATTACAAAACCGATCCTGCATTCGGAGAACGAGAATACAAAGAGAGGTGCTAGATCCCTAATCACGGTGTTCCTGTTCGTCGAGAATATGAGCGTTAACAAAGTATAGTAAGAGGGTCCCTACAAGACAAAGACGTCGACAGGACAGTCTAGAGGCAGAATATGAAATGTGTGTTCTCTTCTATAATTGAATCGACCAGCAGCACGGACCCATGTTTATTCATAATGCGCCCTTCACAATCTGTATACTCTCCTGCTTAGTCTAAAGGGTTGGTTGCCTGGGTTGGTACTTATGATAATTGTGCACGATAGGGTTCTCTGGAGCGGGAGATTAGATCCGATTTTAGTAATTAGTTTAAAAACTATATTCAAATTGGAATCGTCTCCATATGAATGGCGCTCTAGGTTTGTTTCAACAATATCTGCTGTAAAGTTTTATTGGATACATTTGCTATAAATTATTCACGAAGATTTCGAAGGAGCGGTCTAGTTCCGATACAATATCAATGTAATAGTACAGTGATAACACAAATGTAAATAACGAGTTATCAAAAAAATCGTACTTGATGTATGGAATAAGCATTCTTTCTTTCGGATGCTTAGATATCTCTCAAAATAAATTCAAAATATATCCTTTTGTAAACAACAAATGATATTATTGGCGGGTTTGCCAGGTGTAAACAATGTATGCTTTGTTGGTACGTTAGTAGGTGGCGCTACTAGAAAACGTAATAATTTATTAAATTATTTTAATATCATATAATTTTTTTTTATATAAATCATAAATATCTAATAAAATTATTGTATTCCATTCCATCTGGACACACTTATTCTTCTGTATTTAATCCTCATACATCTGAGCATACTGCCCAAAAGGTAGAATTTGAGTTAAATAAATTTGAGTCAAATATAATAAAAAAAACGAATATTTAGAAAGGAGAATAAAGATTTTTTAAATTTATGTTGGATAATGTAGACAGGGTATCTATTTTTGATACATTAGAGGTAGATAATCAGTGAGATGCTTTTATGAATATAGTTCTAAATTCTAAATAACTTAAAAAACAAGCAAGCTCTGGTTAAGATGAAATAACCAACTTAATTAAATTTGTTTCATCAAAGTTCTCTTCCTTTTTGTTTTATTCTTAATGACTTTTTCTGGTAAGGTAAATTTTCTGAACTGGCAATTGTCAAGCTACTACATAAAAAAGGTGATCTTACTAAGATGGAAAACTAAAGACCAATAAGGCCTCATCCATCATGCTCAAAAATATTCGAAAAAAGCGATATATTTCAGACTACAAAACTTTTTTTACTACAAACAACTTATTTAGTAGTTCACTGCATGGTTTTCTCGCAGAGAGATCTGTTGACACAGATACCTATGAGTTTATCTCAAAAATTTTATTAGAAAAACTAGAGGCAAATATGAAACCCAAGGCTTTCGATATCATAAATTATGTTCTCATATTACAAAAATTACATTGTTATGGGTTACAGGGACAGGCATTGCAATGGATAAAATTACAGATAGGTCACAAAAGTATGCTTGAAGAAACAGGGATGTAAGGTTTACTCTTTTGAGAAAAAAAACATTAAAAACACTCCTTACAGTGACAGAGCAAACTTTAAGCAAGGCTGATCAGTGGTTCAGTGGAAATGGCTGTTGCTTAATATTGATAACAGTTTTCGATTAGTTTAGAACCAGTCAGTCATGAGAACAGTTTCGAAATAAGTAAATTCTCCATCAAAAAACACAGAACCTGCTAAATCAGTTAGATTTCTTGGTCTTCATATTGACCAGAACCTAAATGGGGAGGGGGGACAAATAAAATATGACAAAAATCTGAACACAGTCTCCTACTCATTAAGAATATTGAAGATCTATCTAGACCAGGAGATTTAACTATCAATAAACGAACACCCTTCAATACCAGCAGTTATGAAAGATGAACATCATTCAGTAACAGCAGTTATAGTAGACGAATTTTCACAGGGTATGCTTTTATCACATGTAACTTGTTTATATTGAATATATCACTTCTTACTTTTTTACAGTGTTCACTTCTCAGACCTGTTCAGAAAAAGGTACAATGGACTATGATTCGAATGATTCAGTCTAAAAATTGCGATCACATTCCAGAACATGAAACCGAGGGATCTGTAAGTAGTGAAAAAGATGATCGAGATAATGAGGAACGGGGCACAAAAAAGGCGCAGATGGAATGCAGCAAGACCTTCAACGTAGAAAAAAATAATAAAAAGAAATAGAGAAATACAGGACAACCGTACAAAAGTGCGAATGGGAAAATACAGGCGCCCAAGATATGTTAGCCAGCAGATTGTTCAAAAGTGCCATTACAAGTGTACGACAATATTTTCTGAGAAATATCGCAAAAATTATTATACCAAACATATGGGAATTTAATATATCAGAGACGAAAAGACGTCATACTTATTCATGAAATATTAAAAGAAGTACAAAGTCGTAGACCTAGAAAAGGAGAACAGAGTAAACAAAGGAGTAATGCTAAATCATATTTTTTACCAATACAGATTCTAATCGACAGGTGTGTCAAAAATTCTTTTGCAAAACTCTGTGTATATCAAAATTTCCTATACTTAATGCTTTTCAACATAAAAATGACAGTGGACAGTATGCCGGTGTGGACAAACAGGACAAGGAAGCTCTCTCCAATAAAACCCCAGAAGAAATTAAAACTAGAGTGAAAATATATGATTTGTTTCTGGAAAATGCAAAGAAAATCACTAGCCAACTGTAATCCTACTGACCTACCGGAGAATATTTTGCACATAATACAAAAGGTATGTCATTTTTTAAACCAAGGAAGGGAGGTAAAGTACCAACTGGAGGTAAAGTACAAAGAACATCTTGAAAGAAAATCAAAGTCTGTGACTGATGCCAATTTTAAATCTATAACATGTGATGTGCAAAGCGCGCTTCAAATTCCTTCTGCTTAAGTTAGTTTATTGTACTACCTGCGTAAATTAAATTTATACAACTTTACTATTTTAAGAAAGCTGCCCAACCAAAGGATGGCTTCTTTTATTTTTGGACGGAAAATAACAGAAAACAGTAGTTGTGAGATTGGAAGTTGTTTGTCATTACACATAAAATTAACATTTTCCCGTGAGGTACGACATTTAACGATTTTTTCTGATAGATCTGATCGGCAGAATAGAAACGTGCAGATTTTAGATTTACTACTGTATACTATAAAAACCCAGCCTTCACTTTGTGTCATAGAACAAAAATTTATGGAAAGTGGGCAATCATTTATGGAGGTGGATTCCATGCATAGCTCTATTGATAGAGCAAAACGAAATGTTGATATTTTTAACGTATATGACTATGAAAATATTTTTTAAAAGGCGAGAGTTGGTAGAAAAAGTTTTACTTATCCCTATAAGACTAGAGAATTAGAATTTAGGGAATTTTTAGATTTAAAAAACTGGTTCAACTTATCATACACAACAAAAAAGAAGATCAAAGACGTAACACAGTGAACTGGTTAAAAGTAAAATTTTTCAATTAAAACACAGAAATTTAAACATTCGTTACAACTATTCTAATTTAATGAAGATATGAAAAGATTGACTTTATTAGACGCACCTCAAGTCGCAAGGGCAAAAAAATAATTTTGATGATATTTATTTCCCACCGTCATAGTCAAGACCATTACCAATCTCCTGTGAAAAGAAAACGGATCTGATGAAACTGTTGAGAAAAAAGATATTCCTTCTATCTTTTCTCCATACTATAGCAGCTTACAGACTTCCGATTCAGTTAAAGAGACTACTGCTGAACCAGATCAAGATGATAGTGATGAAGGTGAATATTAGTGTTTTATATTTTTCCTTTCTTACTTCAACAATGTGTTTAAGTTGATAATGTATTGTGTCCCTATATTTTAGATTTATTTTTAATTAGACAGTAAATTTATCTTTAATAAACCTTATTATTCTTATAAAAGCTCATTCATTTTTACAGGTTAAAGTTACTAAAGTTACAAGAAAAATACTTTAAGACGATCACTGCAGGTAAAACACATTAAGTCGGCGACAGTTAACAACAAATTCTACTAAAACAATGTTGCCTGTAAAACCTAAGATAATTGACACGCGACATTTGACTTGTGACATATTAAGGTCTATAATTGCATGCTATGGAATTTGAAAACACGTATATATTAGTTCAGATAGGAGTATGTATAAATTTACAAACTTCAAAGCTGAATTCGTTAAAACTATATTTTTTGACTTAGTGTGTTTTGCTTGTAAACTGACGATAAATTCTGCTGTATAAGCAGAACTATCAAAACCTACAAATTCGAGCGTTCTATTATATTTATTTCCACAACTACATATATTTCTTACCCCCTCTGTGGCTCAGTGGTAAGAGCGCCTGCCTTTAAACCTAAAGGTCGTGAGTTCGAATCCCACCTGGGTGGAAATTTTCGTTTATTAAAAAAAAAAAAAAAAAAAATTAATAAATGAAAATAATTTCTATCCTTGTGTGATCGGTACACACCGGAGGGACCGCAGACGTTCGGATACAATTAGCGTCTCTTAGCAAAGAATATGACGTCGACTTTGCTAAGTAACAAGACAATTACTCTACACACACACACACTACACCTCAAATTGTAAGATTGGCGAATGGATTTAGTGTCCGCAGTCATTTAAACACAAACAAACAACAACAATACATATATTTCTCTTAGTGTAATATAAATGTTTAAATTTCCACCAATACTGAATGTTCCTGCACCTGAACCTACTGCTGTTATAGACCGGTCTGTGTACCAGGTATGATAACACTACAGTCTGGGTGTAGTGTAAATACAGAACAGATTTTTTTATTAACGAAAATCCCAAAGTCCGAATATTTTGTTTGTGATCATACCACAGTTAATTATTTTTAATATAACATCTTTTATGCATTTTTTTTACAAAGCAAAGTTTCAAGATTTTTATATTTATATCTTTATTCTTTATAAATGCATAATAAGTATGTCCTTAAAAAATTACATCGCTTGATAAGGGGTTACTTCTGATTATTTACTTTGACATGAAACAATACTCTTTACTGAACTGATACAAAAAATGTAACATTTTTAGTGTAGTGTACTTTAATACGTCGCTCGTAGCTTATTTTCTAAAAATAACATCGGGAACAATAATTAGACTTTTATAGAGGGACAACAAAAGCCCTTTAATCCCTGTGTCTAGGACACATTGTCATCGTGTGATTGAAGTCGTCGGCCTGTCCCTGTCCTGTTCGTCCTGCGAGTTCTCCAACCCTTCCAAAGGCGGGTGGTTTCGCCCCCGGCACTAGGGGTATGGGGGGGAACATTAATATTGCGAAATGAAGCTCATTTGCATTTAAATAAGGTAGTCGTAGAACGGGGGAGGTGAGGCCAGAGGGGCACTAATTACACTAACTACACAAAGAGCTCTCGCTTGGCTGGCCGCTGTCCGAACCCCCTCCCCTGTCACCCCCTCTATAGGCCCTTAACCCTTATTATACGAGGGCGAGACTGTTCCAGGCCCGCTTGATTATCATTATGCTGGAATAGATTATGTATTGTGGAGATGGAGAGAGGAATAAAGGGAGGAGGGTTTGTTTCTTAGTTTGAACGTTTGTTCTAAGAGTTAGTGGGAAATATCACGAGTTTCCCTTCATTAAGCTATGAATTTAAAATTATTCGATATTCACACAATAATCTACTTACCTTTATCATGATACAAATCAAATAGCAGCTACTGTATTATATGTAATATTTATTTCACAATACTTAATACGAGTAAATAAGATTTTAAGGAACATCTTAAGAAATATAATCCAAAATTAAAAAAAAAAGGGATTTGTTCAAAAATTTTCGGGAATATTAAAAGCTAATAAAGCTAAGTCTTTTCGTCTCATCTCTTCATTAAAATTTTTTTATTTACACAACTATCTTATCTCATGAGTTTTTATGTATATATCATTATGTATATTGTGATATATTCCATATATCACTTTTTATTAACCACGTATCTTTACGACGGCAGTCCAATAAGTACTTAGCCTCACCACTCGATGACGCTACTATCGTAAGGTAAATTTACTATTGTGTAGTAGATTCTCGTAAACGCAGACGGCGAATGTTAAAATTTCAGGCAAATCGGATACTTAGTTGTGTTCTGATCACATGTGGAAGCGGGTGTGTCTACGAATTTTGGAAAAATGAAAAAAAATATCGGTCGGTGATTGGATTCTTGTGTTTGAAGGGAAATCGCGCTCGCGCAGTGAAATTAAAAAGCACTTGAATGCTGTGTATGATGACTCTTCTCGTTCGATAAAAAGCGACAAAAGTTTGTTTAATGTGTGTCATATCCTGCATGACATTTTAGACATGAGAAAGTTGTCATCGCAATGGTTACTGCATTTGTTAACTCCAAAAACAAGGGCATCAGTGATACCACTTCACAGCAGTGCTTGACATTGTTTAAACCGTTTCGTAACCGCAACGAAATATGGATCCACTGGTATACACCAAAAGATCAAGTCACAATCCAAACAATACACTATGTATAAATACACAATAAGCAAAGCCTGTGCTATTGGCCGAAAAGAAACAGCCATCGTCTTTAATTCACAATTATACACGATATCGATTTGACGCCAAATTATAAAAAAGAACAGCCCAAATTGGCAAAACATGCAATTTTTCACTATGAGAACGCACCTCCTTAGACCACCGTCACCATGGCCAAGTTTCGGATTTGGTCCCGTACGACTTATAATATTTATGGATTTTACAAGTTCAGATAAAATTTCGTGTTTATTGCAAGTAATACCCTCAATGTTTATGGTTTTCATGGTAAATGTAGGTTGTAAAAGGAGCCGTTGATTTATCTCATTACATTGTTATGGAAGAAACAACTCTGTGCATTCAAAAACCAGCATGAACACCGACAATTTCCATAGCATATGGTACCAAAAGTAGAGAATTCGTTTTATTTGTCAGCCTATAAAGCAAATTTTTTGTTTAATATCCTTTCTTAGGAAAGAAAACGGTTTACTATTTACACTGAATAATACTGGAACATATACAATAATGGATAAGAGTATGCAATTAACAAAATTTTTAATATATTTAATTTAATAGGTAATTGGAATAAATACATTAATCATTATTTTGTTGCTAATTAATTACCACTGATCTCAAGGAGGTTAATCATTTACAATATTGTTACAATTCCGAAGATTAATTCCATATATAAACAGTCCCTTGGCAAAAAAAGAAGTATAAGAAATCTAGAAAAATTCTAGATGTCCGAGTAAACATCACGATAAATATCGTTTTCAATTCAAAGCTGCATCTAGAGTAACTAGCTTTACTAAGAAAGAAATGGCAGAGAAAGAATAAGAAGCTGATATTAAAAGATTATTGCATTAGGCGTACTCTCAGGCAGCTATAGATTTTTTAAAATAAATTGGTATAGAGGTATTCATAAAGGTATACAACATCAAATCCAAAAAGACAAAAGGCGGAAGCCGCAGATATCCAAGAACCTATTTTATCCTAAATGTTAAGCATACTTCAAAATCTTCAACAGCAATCTCAAAATGAAAGCAGAAATACAACACAATTTTTTGTGTTTTTTGAGAAAAAAATTCCCCAACAAAAATTTCCCAGACTCTTTCAAATGGGATTTAAAGAAAATAATATCAACATAAATATTTTACTTAAAAATAAATTGGATAATGCAATTCATCTTTTATTTTTACTACCATCAAAAAAAAATTATAATGTATTACTTTTAACTTATTTACGACTTCCGGTATGGGTATAAATCGTTTTGAAAACGTAGGGAAATCCTTGGAGATTCGTATTCGTAATCGGTAACTCGATATTCATAGTCATTATTTTTGGTAATCAGAAAAAGCCATTTACCCACTTTCAATGTCAAGAGTCAAGTGTGAAAAATAGATGATGTATAAATACCAGATCAGTTCTTATGTAAAAATATTATGATTACAAATACTTTTTCAACGTAATCCTATAATAAAATTTAATTGTTTCTGGCTGATGTAAGTGACTTTCAGTTTGCTTCTGTATTAATAAAATAAAATAAAAATTGAATTTTAGTTTTGTTTGGAATAATTACTTGAGAATAATAATTATGATTGGGTGGGATCCAAAATAATACCTAACCTAATCCTAATCACTGTAAAAACCTAATAACCGGTTTTTACTTTAAAAATAAAAAACCGGTTATAACCGGGACAAAAAAACAACCGATAAAACCGGTTATTTCGAAGTAAAAAAACCGGTTTTCGGTTAAAACCGGTAGGGTTTTCCCATCCCTACTTTAATGCCAGTTTTAGCTTGAATGAAAATATAACCGAAGAAGTAAGTCTCCAGATGACTAAAGTTAAATACCAAGAAGATAATAAACCGACTTTTCTGTAAAGCCTTTAAAAGTGTCAAAAGAAAGATAATGACTTAAAAATGGAGTAAGACATATTTGGCAGGAAATAACTAAATATAGTGGAAATTTAAAGGCGTACTGAGCTCAGTAGGCATATCTGTATCTTTCCAAAGATCTATTATATCAAACGTGGGAAAGTCTCGATGGACTGAGTACATTTTAACAATCGGTACTGCCAAAATCACACACTGAAAGTGTGTTGCAAAAAATATTGGCCAGAGTTTGAAACATATCTTACTGGATCAATTGTTGTCGAGTTGTAAAATCTGCGATTTCTGTAACGGTAGAAAACGTCCCATAACAAGATGTCGTGGTTAAATGGAAAACCATCTATTCGAAGAGCTTTTTGAATACCTTGCAGTAGATATTCTCGGCCCACTTTCGATGAAAAAGAGAGGAAACAAGTACTTAATGGTCAGAATGGAATATTTTTTACATGGCCTAAAATTGCACCCCCTTCTAATTTGACAGCGACTATAGTAGCATAAGCATTCATAACACACGTCGTATTAAGACATGGAGTTTCTTTAGAGTTACATTCTGATCAAGGACGAAATTTTGAATCTGAATTATGGCAATAATTAAGGAAAATCTTGGATTCTAAAATATTCGAAATAGCTTCTTTATTCACAATCAGACGGAATAGTAGAAAGACATAAGAGAGCTGTTTGCATCTGCCGAAGTTTTGTTCTTTTGAATAACGTACTAGTGTAATTAAAAAAAAGTTTTAAATGTTTTAGAACATTTGTTTTGTACATCCACACAACAGCATTTTTCAAGCATATTTCAAATGCTTCATATTTGTTGCCGAAACTTAAAACTCAAATTTCATGCCATAAGTTTTACAGGTTAGGCTCTAGTAATCGAAACTTCATAGTGGTTAGTCAATGAAAGGCATAGATTTTATCGATCTCGTGAGAATAATCAAAAATGGCAAACATAGCGCCACGTTTTTTTTAAACACCTGTATAAACTCTGAGTTTATTTACGGCAAAATACAAAAACTGGAAACTTGAAACGCATCTTAATTTTTGTCGATAGGTCACTTGAATAAAAAGATATCGACTTTTTCACTATCTAACTGACATGCAAAATCGACGGTCGCTTTAAGCGTCGTTTCTAAGACAACGGTTCGTTCTACATAAAAAATGCTCATAAACGACGGTGTACAAATTCTTGGTAAATCGATTTTTTGCGTTTTTACCCCTCCGCAAGGGGGATTTTAGGGGGAAGCCCGGAATAAAAATGGTAAACTTTTTTGCATCTTTTTTAAGGGTCTCTGACGGCTGGAGTATTGTACCTAAACGTACTCTAATTTCTTAATTATTCGGCAGCTATTGGGCTATTGAGCAGCTGCGCTAGAACTCCAAAAAAGAATTCCATGTCGAAAGTAAGACTCTAACAAAGACAAATATGTTATTTTGGAAGATGCTAAATTGATTTCCTTTGAAACAGATCTTATTGCATTGTAGGTCGATGAGCAAATTCTACAGAATCAACGATACTGATCTGGCTGTTATTAAGAAGCAAGGGTTGAAGAGCTCCTTTATAGGATAATCTTGCTGTCTTATCCACGTTAAAAGAGAGTAAATTAGATTTAGACCAGGTTTTTATTTTGAGAAGATCAGAAATTATAATTGCATAAAAAGTTGCAATATTAGAGCTCCTCCAGATAATATTGGTATCATCAGCAAAAAGAAAAAGTTTTCCATCGATTTTTAAGTGAGTGATGTCATTTATAAAGATAAGGAGAAGTTGAGGACCCAGTACTAAACCTTGTGGTACTCTACATATAATGCTTTTGTGGCTAGAGTCAGAATCATTTGCTCTAACTAGTTATTTCATATTCCTCAAGTGAGATCGGAACCAATTCAAAGAAATACCTCGAATTCCGTAGTTTTTGTATCAAAATGTGATTTACACAATCAAAAGCTTTGGCATAGTCACAAAAAACAGTGACAGTATAAAGATTATTGTTTAGTGCTAGATAGACTTCATGTAGTACAGAAAACATAGCCTCGCTGGTACATATTTATTAGTTTAAAAAGCCGAACTGACATAATTCGGGCTCTCAATAATTTTGGATATAGCGTTAGAATAATTTTTAATAATTTTAAACTCATTCTCTCTCCGTTTGCCGACAAGAATGTAGAGCGTTAGAATAATTTTTAATAATTTTACACTGTTTGTCCTTGTATTAATGTAGTGTTATGTACAATTTATGTCCAATCTCATGTTTATTACATTCTGCGCTTGCTGGATA